TCCAGCATCTGCAGTTCCTACTATCTCTCCCTCCAAAATCTTCCCTCTTTATGCACTTAGCCAAATGTCTTTTAAATGTTTTAACTGCACCTGTATCTTCCCTAGGAGGTTCATTCCACACACAAACTACTTTCTGTAAAGAATTTGCCCCTCGTGTCATTTTTAAATCTTTCTCCTCTCACCTCAAAAATGTGCCCCCTAGTCTTGAAATCCCTCATCCTAGGCAAAAGACACCTACCGTTAATTCTATCTATACTCACATGATTTCATAAAGTTGTATAAGATCACCTCTCAACTTGCCACGCTCCAGTTAAAGAAGTCCCAGCGTAACCAGTCTTTTTTTTAATAACTCAAACCTTCCATACCCAGCAACAATCATCTCAGTACTTAAATGACCTAGCCCATTTCCTTATACCGAAACCCAGGGTTCTTCCCAGTCATTGGGAATGTGCTTCCCACATTTAGCCTTTTTTCGGTCCTGTTGGATTGAGGAGGTTTCCACAAGATTCCCCCCACCCACCCGTCATTCTTCTAGATGCCAGCAAATAAAGTCCGAAAAGATCCAGTCTCTCTTCAGTCCTGCCATCATAGCAATCAATCTGCTAAATCTTCATTGCACTCCCTTCATAGCCAGAAGATCCTTCCTCTGATAAGGAGGCCAAAACTGTCGACAATACTCCAGATATCACCAAGGTCCTGCACAATTACAGCAAAACAACTTTGCTTGTGTCTTCTAATTCTCTCACTGGGAAGGCCAACATACCATTTATTTTTCACTGGCTGCTGCAGCTGTATGCTTACTTTCAGGATAGGTGTACAAGAACAGTCAGGTCCTGTTGCACTCCACTCCCTTTCTTATGATGTCTTGATATTCAGATAATATCATCTTTTTGGCGACCAAAGTGGCTACACATTTATCCACATTGTACCGCATCTGCCATGCATTTTCCCACTCATTCAATTTTTCCCAATCACATTGAACCATCCCTCCATCTTCCTTACAGCTCACCCTTCCCATCCAGCTTTGTGACACCTGCGAACTTGGAGGCATTACATTCAGTTCCCTCATCTAAATCATTAATGTATATTGTAAATTGCTGAGGTGCAAGTACTGATCCCTGTGGTACCACACTAGTCAATGCCTGCCACTCAGAAAAAGACCCATGCACTTCTACTGTTTCCATTCTGCAAACAGTTCTCAGTCCATGTCGTGCACTATCCCGAATTTGATGAACTTTAACTTTACATGCTCACCTCTTATATGGGACCTTATCAAAGCCTCCAAGTCCAAGTAAACCACATTCACTAGCATCCTCCTTGTCAACACTCCTCGTTACATCCTCAAAAAATTTTGGTAGATTTGCCAAATAGGATTTCCCTTTTATAAACCTCTGCTGACTCTGTATGATCCTGTCACTGCTTTCGAAGTCCATGAGGGGCATGGATAGGGTGAATAGACAAGGTCTTTTTCCCAGGGTAAGGGAGTCCAAAACTAGAGGACATAGGTTTAAGGTGAGAGGGAAAAGATTTAAAAGGGACCTATGAGGTAACTTTTTCACACAGACCATGGTGCATGCATGGAATGAGTTGCCAAAGGTGGTGGTGGAGAGTGGTACAATTACAACATTTAAAAGGCATTTGGATGGGTACATGAATAGGACGGGTTTCGAGGGATATGGGCCAAATGCTGGCAAATGGGACTAGATCAGTTTAAGATATGTAGTTGTCATGGACGAGTTGGACTGAAAGGTCTGTTTCCATTCTGTATAACTATGACTAGCATTTTCACTACTACAGATGTTGGGCTATCTGGTTTATAATTCCCTGTTTTCTCTCTAATTTTCTTTTTAAAAAAGAGCAGCATGGTTACTTTAGCTTCCCTCCAACCCATAAGAATTGATCCAGAGTCTGAGTCTTAAAAGCCGAAATTTGAAACAGATGACCATCAATACATGCACTATTCCTAGAACCATTTCTTTAACGTACCCCGGGATGTAGATTATTGGGACCTGCAGATTTATCAGCCTTTAATTGAATTAATTTCTCGAACACAGTTTCCCTGCCAATGCTTATTTCCTTCATTTCTGCTATCTCACATGACCTGCTGTTCCCCGAGGTTTTTGGGATGTTATTTGTGTTCTCCTTTGTGAGGGCAGAACTAAAATATGTATTAAATTGGTCTGATATTTCGTTGTTCCCCATTATAACATTACTTGTTTCTTAATTGTAAGGGGCCTACATTTTCTTAACAAACCAATAAACGGATTGAAAAAACTTTTATATGTTCCACTCAAGCTTATTATCTTATTCGACTTACCCCCGTTTAATCAATCCCTTTGTCCTCCTCTGCTGAAATCTAGTCTCTCAAATGTGCTGCTGTTGTTTTATTTTTTGGCCAATTTGAGACCCCCTTCAGTGAATTAGTACAATCTCTAAAATTCCCTGTTAGCCATGGTCAGGCCATCTTTTCCATTTTATACATCTGCCAGACAGGACTGAATAATTGTCGCAATTCCTCCACACACACAATAACTGTTTGCCATTGCTGATGTATCATCATTCCTTTAAGTAATTTTCCCCAAATTATCATAGCCCAGTTGAGCCTCATACCATCTTGGTTTTGTTCCAAGAACAACCAGCAGGCCAAAGAGTTAAACAGCAGAAGCTTTATTGGGAGATGTTTACCCTACAGGCAGCAAGGTTACATTAAGCCATTTCCCTCCAAAATGACTGATGACAGCAACATGGTGTCACATGGTCAGCAACATGACAGTCCAACATACTTACACAAATACACAACAGAGTTGCGCATGATTTTGATTCAAGACCCAGGTCACTGAATCAGCTATATCAGTCTTCATCTTAATGGAGAATTCTATCATTATCCGGACACTCTTCTCCAAGGGGCCTTGCATAGCTAGATTGTCAATTTCTCCTTTCACATTCCATAGTTCCCAGTGTAGGATAGCCATTCTGTAGTTGGTTTCTCAACATATTGATCCAGAAAACCATCTAATACACACTCTAGGAATTTCTTCTCTGTGGCATTGTTACTGATTTGATTTGCCCAAATCGATACACAGATGGAAATAGAATAATTAGTGCTGTACCTTTCTTGCTTGTATCTTTAAATTCTTATTTAGTGCCTTCCAAAAATTACTACCACAGTTTGGGAGTCTACATACAAACTCCATTATCACTGTCTGTCTCTAAGTTCTAACCATACAGATTCCACTTCACCAAAGTTCCTCACTGTAGCATAAACATCTAACGAGCAATGCTACCCCACTCTTTCTTGTTTGCCCGTCCTTCCTAAAAACAAAATAGTCCCGAATATTTTATACCCATCCCTGGTCAGTCTGCAGCCACATCTCTGTAATCCCAACAAATAATACCTATTTCTATCTATTTGCACAATTAGTTCATCCACTTAACTGCAAATACTCCGTGCATTAAGACACAAGGCCATGAGGCTCACCTTTTCAATGTTCTTAGTCCTGTTCTAATTCTTTCTTAACACTGTGATCCTGTTTGATCCTTGGCATGGAGTTTGCTGCTTATCACTTTTCTTATTTACCATTCTATTTGATTTTTCCCCTCACCTCCCTCTCCTCTGTATCCCTGTATAGGTTCCCATCCCCGTCATTTTAGTTTAAACCCTCCTCAACCAGTCTAGCAAATACTCACCCTCAGACATCAGTTCCATTCCTGCTCTCGTGCAATCAGTCCAGCTTGTACCGGTCCCACCTCCTCCAGAAGCTGTTCCAATATTCCAGGAATTCAAAACTCTCCCCTTTGCAACATCTCTCCAGTATTTATTTAATATAGCCTGTGACTTTTACTCTAACTAGCACATGACACCAATAGCAATGTTGAGATCACTACCTTTGAGGTTCTACTTTTTAAACTTACTTCCTAGCTCCCTACATTCTGCTTTTAGGACCTTGTCCTTTTTTTAAAACCTATGTAGTTGGTAATGATGTATACCACTGATGTGGCTGTTCACTTTCCCACTCCAGAATGTCTTACAGCTGCTCCAAGTCTTTCTTTACCTTATAGGCAACCTGGAGTCTGTTATCAGCCATAGAAATATTTATTCCCCTTACAACTCAATTCTCTATTATGATAGCGTTGACATACTTTTTTCTCCTCTCCCATGCAGCAGAGCCAACCTTGGTGCAACAAATTTGGCCGTTCTTGCTTCCCTCCCCTCAGTATTTCTTTCTGGGAAATACTGGGACACTCTTCCTAGACTATTTTATTGTACTGCTGCCGTGGGACACTCTTCCCAGACTGCCTCATTTATGATGTTGCTGTGGGACACTCTTCCCAAACTGCCTCATTGCAATGTTGATGTTAGACACTCTTCCCACATTTCTTAAATGAAACATTTAAGACTCTGAAGGCATGGACAAGGTGGATGCTGGGAGGCTATTTCCCCTGGTAGGACTCCAGGTACACACATTCTCAAACAGGCATTCAGGAATGACACGAGAAGAAATTTCTTTATTCAAAGGGTTGGGAAGGTTTGGAATTTTGCGCTTAGGACTATGAATGTTCAGTCATTGGTTATATTCAAAGCTACAATGGCCAGATTTCTGGAATCTAAGAGAATTGGGCATATAGGTCACGTTGAGGTCAAGGATCAGCCTGTTCATCCCAGGAACCTATCCAGTAAAGCACCCTTGCAAACCCCAATGCAAGTCTTGACTTCCTTCACACATTCAATCACAGACTTAAAATGTCCAATTTTAAAAGATAAAATCAGCAATTTAGCATCATTTATCAATAAATGCAGAGATGATTCAGTTTCACATGCTTGGACTAAATTACAATAGTGAGGTCAAGGATTAGCCATCATCTTATTAAATGGTAAAGCAGGCTCATGGGTTTGTATGACAAACTCCTGTTTGTTTGTTCTGATGTCTTAGTTACAAGTCAATGCTTCCTTGAATGGTCACAATGAAGCCCATATTTTGAAGCATGACATCTAGCAAAACCATCGTACACAACACTTCAGATGCATGATCATACCTTTATATGATTGTATTCACTCTTACTGTTGGTGTCAGCTGAATTCAAAATAGTAGACTTGCTATCTGAGCGTGGTTTGCCATTCTGTCGAAAAGGACTCGACAAGGGTAACCCTGCAACACTGATTCCATCTGAAAGAGACAAGAAACAAACCATAGAATTTTCATACACAACTGCTAATTTTTTGCAACAAGTTTATCAATTGCCTTGATTCATGGAAACTTATGGAAAGGTAAAAAAAAACAAAACATGAAAACAAATTACAGAACACCTAATATGCTACTCTCAATATAACAAATTCTATAACCAGGAAAGATTTTTAGCAAATTACAAATACTTTAAAAAAGCTGGTAAAGAACTGATTTTTATAAACTGAATGCATACAATAAACAGTTGTGTTAGATTAGGTTTAATGCACAGAAGATACAGTGAAGATCATCATCCTTGAGCTCACTACCCAAAGTTCCAACTCTAAGCATCACAGACACTAGTATATATGGGGGGGTTTTGTCCCCAAACACACCCCAGCCAAGAACACGGATCCAATTCAGTACTGTTGATATCTGATCCACACTGGCAATCTAACGAACCTGTTCCCCATAGAATCCAAGTTGCTGTGTCAATGTACACTTCTAGATATATGTCGTAGTCTGAAGCCATAGATAGTGATAGTAAGGGCTCCAATTTCTTTACGTCACATGGTTTACCAGGAATCTCTCCCACTTTCACTGTATGCAATCGGTCTATGTTGGAAGGATTTACAAGTTTGTACTCAAATAGTTTAGCCAAGTTATGGATAAACCTTCTTTGGCTATCAAATTCGAGAGCAGGCTTGAACTCAGACCTTTGGACTGACAGGCAGAGATGCTAACACTAGGCCAGAAGACCTCTGTACTGAACATAGCCTTTCCAACAGATTTCAAGACTTAATAAGCAAGTATTACGAGACAACAGACAGGCTTGCATTTACATGGCACTTTATGTAACCTTAAGTTATCCTATAGTACTTCAAATCCAATTAAGTACTTTTGAAATGTTGTTGTTGTATTGTAGGAAATGTAGCAGTCAATTTGGCAAATATCTCACAAATAGCAGTGTGCTAACTGGAAGAAATTAGTGCTCTTTTTAAAGTGATATTTTCTATTTAGTACGACATCTTATGAGATTAGCTAACACAGCAGTGATTTTCTCCTTCCAGAAAGGCAGAAACAGTTCTAGACAATCCCTGGAAATGTCAGTCAATTGATTCAAGCTTCCATGTTGACATTCTTAGTTTGGTAGGATGGTATCCATGCAATTCTTTAGACAGGACCAGTAAATAACCATCAACACGACAAGCTAAAAAGCAGTCCTTAAGCTGAATGAGGGCGGTATCCATCCTGGCATCTTCGATACCTACCCTGCACAGACTGGTTAAAGAAGGTCCAAACAGATGACTGGTATAGAATAAACTCTCACACCCTAGAAAAGAAGCATTGTAACAAGTGTTCACAGCCACAGGACAGTCCTCTTCAGGTAAGCAATACTCATTGGAGATCTTCCTTCTTCAGAAGGAAGATGAAAAAGGAAACATTGAGCAAGACCAAGGGAAGAGTTCCCAAAAATCTGAGTTTGAAAGCAGGATATTGCAGGTTACCAAGTTCAACACACACTGTGCCAAACATACATTCATCTACTATTAGCAGTGAACTACCCTCAACTGTCACCAGGTTCAAGACATTTCCACTCAGTTTAGTCAATGCATTTTATCTAAACTGTTCTTTCTTAAAGAACTTGAGCAAACTACCTCCAAATTACTTTCAACCAATAAACTGCCTTAGATATCCATGAGCATTGATTCGGAAATCTTACACAGTGACAAGGTAATCTATTTTAGTCAAAATATTGGAGGGACAAATATTGACAAATACACTGCAGGAACTTTCCCTGCTTTTCTTCAAAATGGTGCCAAAGATTAACAACAACTACCTGGGGATAGATGGGGCCTTGTTAGCAGAAAGACAGTACCCCTGACAAAGTAACTCTCCCACAGTACTGCATTGGAAAGTTAGCCTGAATTCTGCACACAATTCTGCTGTGCAGTTTGAATTCAAAGCTGAATCATGGAATTTGATTGTGAGGTCTGTTATTCTCTTGCTGCTGAAATTATGTTGCATATGTGGCACAACACTGAGAAAAAGCACAAAGGCTTGGATGGAATATCACTCTTATACCCCAACCAACACTATTCTTTACTCATTTCAACAATAAATTAGGCAAGATGCAAAACCAAATGGCACTTGATCTTATCAGTTTCCTAATGAAATCCTTAGGACAATGCTTCTCACAGAGTTTTCAACTGCAATCCCATTTTTGTCTTGATAATTGTTTTAAACCCCCTGTGGCAACTGACAGAATGTGGGGGAAGATGACTTATTGAGCAGGGAATGGAGGAGTAGCAGTAGGGTGGAGCTATGCAGCAGCCATTGGTACTACTGAGCTCATGACCACAAAATTTCAGTACACAACCATATTTAGCCTCCTAACCACTACTTTGGGACGTCCCTACGCATGATTTAACCAGAGGTAAAGCTATCTTCATCAAAACCTAAATCTCCAAAATTCTTAACACTTGATGGCATTTGAGAGCAATTTCCTCATACTCCTTACAGTTCTCTAATACAACATTACATCACTATGCTTAGGATAAGAAATGTACTAATCAAAATATCATGATTCCTGTAACTGGCATTGAACTTGATGATAAAGCATTTCTGCGTAAGGGGTCAAGAATAAATTCACCATATGATGACCTGCTTCCAATTCCAAGTATATATCTGCAATATCATGACTCACGGGGCGGCACACTGGAAATCAAGCCCCGCTTTTCCTGAAATCATTATGAAACTAACATTTTTCTTGTACTACACAAAATCTCCAAATTTCAGACCCCAGGTTGATAGAAATCATGAGCCAGATTCAAAAATCACTATTCGTCATTGGTATTTAGATTAAGTAAACTCTAACAATAAGGTCTCTAAACCCCTTATAAACTCCCCTTCTGTACACAAACAAGAAAAACAATACAGGGGCAGACAGAAAACGAGAGAAAATAGTTCCTTAACGTTTTTTCAAGAGAGTCGAGTTGTTTCTTGCTCATTGGAAGGGTTTTTCTTTTTTCAATGTTTCAGTGGCTTGCTGGGACAGAGGGTGGCTGGTTCACTTGTGAAAGGTCTCTGACTTATCCAATTCAATGTCACAATTTGCAATACCGGCTGAAGCAAAGATAAATTGGTTTCTATCTGCTTTAGCATGGCTAACTGCAGAGAACTGAAAGAGAGAGCAGCTGCTGCTTTTTCTTTCTCCTGGTCCGATTAGTTCTCTCTGTCTTGCTCACAGGCAAAGTTGTTCAGTTCCCTTACCACCAATCACATTGTTGTTGGCAGGCAGATGAACTTCCTGATTGATATTTGGCCTCTAGTCCACAAATCAAAACCACTCATCAGCACATTGCTGTAACCTACAACTACTCTTAGAATTAATGTGGGCCATTCAGCCCCATAACCTGATCCCACCTTCAAAAAAAATTACTGATCTGTATGTTAACTTAATTTTCTTGCCTAAGTTCATGTCCAACAATAATCTAAAACAAAGAACTGTGGATGCCAAAGGTCTGGAAAACAAAAACAGAAATTGCAGGTGAAACTCAGCAGGTCTGGTACCATCTGTGGGAAGAGAACAGAGTTAATGTTTCGAGTCTGATGACTCTTCATCAGACTTAGTTCTGCTTGGTTTCTGTCAGTTCTGTCAGCAATTACTGCTTTTGTTTTAATGTCCAACAATATCCTTGCCTATCCTAATCTCAAGAAAAAATTGTTTAATTTAAAAAAAACTCAGAGCTCAAAGCTGTTTGTCCACTGCTTCTGAAACACACATTCCAGCACCATTGTGGCAACACTTCTCTGTAAGTCAATTTTTGCTCCGAGTGGTCAAACAATAGCCTGACATAGTCAAATTCTCAAAACCACACCTTACAAACAATATTCCACACCCCTGGGTGTGTGCTGTCCATTAGCAGGACAGACCCATCACTGGTGGCAGCAGAATGGTACAAAGACATAGAAGTACTCAACGTTGACAGCAGACTGCATGAAATTTCATTGCATCAAGTCAATATTGGCCAGGATACCACCTGCTAATTACCATCTAAAGCAATGAATCTATAGTCCTCCATGTTTAACACATTGGGTGGAAAGGGCGTAGAATAAATGCTGCGTGGAGAACTTCAATGTGCATCACAAGTTCAGCAACACTATGTTAGCAGTATGTACAATGGATGAGTTCTTGTTGACATCATCCTCAATCTCATGTCTCAGTCGCATTTATTCATGCAAATTACTGGTGGCAGTTATCTCCTCCACAGCCCTGTGCAGTGAAATCCATCCTTCATATTGATGATCACCTCTGTCATTTAGTGTGACATAACCACCATGCTAAATGGAACAGGTTTCAAACAAATGTAGCATCTCAAAACTAGGCAGTCATTCATGAGGTGGTGTGGTCAGAACCGTATTCAACCACGATCTGTAACTCAGCATCCAACCTATCTTCCACTTCACCACCACCATGAGGGTAGGAGACACAACTTGATTCAGAGTGCAGGTGGGCATGCTAGGAGCAGCACTTGGGAAACCTAAAAATGAAGTGTCAAAATGGAGAACACAGGACTACTTGCATGCCAAACAGAAGTAGTGTGTAACTGACAGTGTTAAGCAATCCCTCAAGCAAAAGGTAAGAACTAAGCTCTACAATGCTATATACATCATGACTAGTAGTCAACAATTATACAAATTAAACAAACAACCTTCTGCTGAATGTCTCTAGCATCACAAATGCCAGTCTTGAATCAATTCAATTCACTTCACTTAATATTCAGAAATGGCTAAAGGCATTAAACACCACGAAGGCTATGGCCCTCAATTCTGGCAACAGTACTGAGGGCACTCCGGAATGAGCCATACTCCATGCCAAATTGTTCTCATCCAGCTAAAGCCACTGGAATGTCCTGGACAAATTCAAAAACTGCCCTCATATGTCTCATGAATAAAAAGTGAGACAAAATCAATCCCAATCAATTGCAGTCCTATCAATC